TAGGTTAGCCCAAGTTTCCCTGTTTATCAGTCATTATTGAAGTGAACAAGAATTCTCAATAAATCTCTGATCTGCCCTTCAATACTCATACTATTATAAGACAAGGAACCCTCCCTTAACCTCACTGCAAACCCTTTACAGTTAATTACAACACGTTCCTTAACTTGACATTCTTCCCTTATGCCTGTGAGTAAAAGGCAGCTGTTCTAGTGTAACACCCAAGACTTGATTTTTTAATTTTTTCCCTGCATCCAGAACAGTCATTTGTTTTTGAGACTTCTTACATGGCCCATTGATTTTGTTTAGCATTGTATAATTTATAGAATTATGTCCCTGCTTCTTTTCTTCACACATGGAAGGGGAAATTAGGCACACCCAAGCTCTGGTGGTATATATGTATCATGTAAATAATGTGATCTTTTCTATAAGACCTTTTCTATAAGCAAAGGCTGATGACTGGGACTGGGTAAAAGGTTTTTGGGCCAAGACTCTTTGGAAACAAACCAGCCAAACCAATCAGATAAAGTTTGGCTAAACATCTGTTCTTTTATGAATTCTACATACCATTTCAAGGTATGAAACCAATCTGGCCTGAAGCAGATAAGCCTTAGGAATGAAAAACTCTAGCTACTTTAAGAATACGTTTTTTCCAACTGACTTCAACTTTGCTTTCACCTGCTTTAATCTGGAATGCCAGGGTCTGGAGCTTACCAGTGGTGTGGTCCTAGAAAGCTATTAAAAATCTGGCTTTTTCCTCATTTGTTGGGGTCAAGACAACTGGAGTCTTGACATCCCTGTTTGGATGGGGGTAATCATTGTGAGTTCCCAATCACCTACCAACAGTGGCTTTGGTAAAAATATAATAAAACATAGCTGAAGCTCCTTGTAGGCAGTCCCATGTAGAGCTCATTGCAATAGTCAAGCCATGATCTGACAAGGGTGTGAGTAACTGTCTGGAGTACTGTCTGATCCAGGAAGGGGTGCAACTGGCACATCAGATAGAGCTGAGCAAAGGCCCTCTTGGACTCACAGCTCCTGCTCAAGAAATGCAACTCCATCCAGGAGTAAAGATGGAAAATCCCCAGACCTGGGCAGTCCCAACAACCATGGTCTTGATAGGGTTGAGCCGGGGTTGGTTTCTCCCCATCCAGGCCTGCACAGCATCCAGGCACTGGGACAGGACCTTGACAACCCCATGGATTATTATAGCAAGCATTTTAATGCTCTTGTTGGCCAAGGGAGCTGCTCTGGATTTTTTGAAATGATCAGGTGGATCAATACTTTTCATTCAAAGCAGTTAAATTAACAAGTGGAAATATAGTCCCTAGAGTACTTTCAGTATTGTGGGTTTTCCCCCTCACTCCTGTTTATTGGCCCATTGATTTCATTGGGTAAAAAACAAAAAGATAAAATTGTATTGACACAGTAGGCTATGAGAAGATTGTGTATGTGCCAGTTATGAATATTTTCCCGTAGTTTTTTCAGAGTCTTAAAAACATTCTGATACCAGTTTCTACTAATGAGAAATAAGAAAAGTGCAAAGCATGTAAACTAATAAACTTTGGGATGGTTTAGAGTTAATCACCAAGGATCTGTCATCCTCAGCTGCTTAGTATTAGCACAGTATTTATTATTATTATTATTATTATGGTTGGTTACACAGCCAGCCAGATGTTTAGGCTGGATTTGGCGTTTTTGTCCAACTATCAAGTCCTTCCCAAGCACCTGGGATAGGCAGACATTGTTGTTTGATGGTGCTAAAGGTATCATCGCAGAATGTAAGCTGTCAAGTAAAACTACCTTTTCCAATTGACTGATGGTGATTTTGTCAGTGCTGATGGTCTTCAAGAGGTGCTCCAGATGTTTTGGGATTGCACCCAAGGCCCCTATTACTATTGGCACTATCTTTGCTTTCTTTTGCCATAGTTGTTCTACTTCTGTTTACAGGTCTTTGTATTTTGTGATTTTTTCCAGTTCTTTCTCTTCTCTTCTGCTGTCTACAGGTATTGCAATGTCCACTACCCAGACTTTTTTGTCTTTCTTATCAACAGTTAAGTCTGGGGTATTATGTGGCAGGTGTTTGTCTGTTTGAATTCTAAAGTTCCAGAGCACTTTAGCTTCTTCATTTTCTATTACTTTGTGTGTTTTGTGGTCCCGCCTGTTCTTGCTTGCAGGCAAATGGTATATTCCAATGTATCATTGTTGTTATTTTGTCATGCCATTGTTTGTAATCAGTCTGTGCAATCTTCTTGCAGCAGCTAACTAGGTGGTCCACTGTTTCTTCAGCTTCTTTGCAGAAGTGGAATTTGCTTCTCATTATTATTATTCTTCCTTGGTACACTTCTCAAATGAAGTTATAATTGAAGGTTGGGTGGGGGAGGCTCCAGAAAAGAAAATTTATATAAAAGGACTATGAGCTCAGTTCAGATATTGGGCTGGGATACATCACAAATGTCCTGTTGCTTAATTCTTGCTACTTCTTACCTACCACAATTGACTACAGTTTGCAGGTTCAGGCCCACTCTTAACCATGGAGGCTCACAGAACAACTTAGAAGTAGTCACTGTCTCTTAGTCTGATCTATCTCACAAGACTATTGTTCTTTAGAAAACTGATCTGTGATCATAATAAAAGATTTTGCTTTGATTTGAAAACTGGGGGATGGAGGAAGTGCTAACAAATAGCATATATAGGACCTGAAACTGCATCACATATGATTACCGTTCATTATTGTTTTGTGTTCATTCATCAGTACTATTTGGTAACCTATGACCTCAGAATTTCATAAAAGAAATACTAATACAGATACTTCAGTAGTATCCAATCCAAATGCTAACTCATTCAGTTCCCTTCTTGTTTTCGACTTCCATCTAGTGGAGACCACATCATATTGCAACAAATGTTTCTGAATACATTTTACAAATGTTGCAAATGCAGTTTTTCAATCCAAATGAGTTAGTTCAGAACTAACAGCAAGATTGCCCAGGGTCTGAATTAGGAAGATCCAGGAACACCTCTCATCTTTTATGAAGGTTTCAGGGTTTTATTTATTATACAGTACTATAATCTGTTTGAATCTTAGCTGTGCTACACCAAAATCAAAATAAAGTATGGATCCTGGACATAGTGGCAGAAACGCCTAAGTATTTTGTCATGTGGATTTGGGCCAGGAAGAAAACATGTGAAGAGTGGTAGGGCTTTATCAGCTTGTCAGTAACTAGGAAAAGGACTAGCCATGCCAGGCACAGAGAGATTCAAAGCTCGGTTGAAGGAGGGAGCAGCGTGGTGGCAGTAGTAGTAAGAGATGTTTCCATGTCAGAATTGGGCTTCTTTTGGGATGCTGAAGAGTTACTGTCACACCAAGTAGGCAGCTCTGGATATGCAGACAGATTGTCTAACCCGGTGTTTCTCAACCTTGACAACTTTCAAATGTGTGGACCAGCTCCCAGAATTTCCCAGCCAGAAGGCTGGCTGGGGAATTTTGGGAGTTGAAGTCCACCCATCTTAAAGTTGCCAAGGTTGAGAAACACTGGTCTAACCTAATAGAAAGTAGCTGGACTTCAACTCCCAAAATTCCCCAGCCAGCCTTCTGGCTGGGAAATTCTTGGACTTCAACTCCCAAAATTCCCCAGCCAGCCTTCTGGCTGGGAAATTCTGGGAGCTGGTCCACACATTTGGAATTTCCCAGCCAGAAGGCTGGCTGGGGAATTTTGGGAGTTGAAGTCCACCCATCTTAAAGTTGCCAAGGTTGAGAAACACTGGTCTAACCTAATAGAAAGTAGCTTCTGTGCACAAATACTGCATGCCTTCACTGATTGGATAGAGGACTCCAAATTTGCATTCCTGTCTCTTGGGGTTGAAGTGTTTCCAGCCATTTGCCTCTGAGCAGTACCCCACCCAAAGATATTATGCAGCCTTTCTCTCTTTTCCCACTTGAAAGGTTTTCTGTTGGAAGGAAAAATAACACTGGACGTAGATGTGAGAAGACGATGGGTTACAAACAGTAGACAGGATTGTCATCTGGGCCTCTAATAAAATTCCAGGAATGAAACAGGACAGTTGCACAATAAAATGTCACCTAGAAGTTCTCTTAGTTCTCACAAACACCAGGTAGACTTTGTCTCCTCAGTATGAAATAATGGCTCATCAAAAATGGGACAGAAAGTTTGGAGCCTTTTTACTTTTTTCTGTGGTGCCAGAAAGAACTGCTGCCATAATGATGAATTATGCTGATGCTCATTGAATGTTGCAGCTGGCTGGGGCTTTGTGTTATGGAAAACAGCAGGATAAAGTTGTGCAAATCATGGTCAAGACAAGGTCAACATCATGGGGTTAAGGGGTAAGATTGGGATTGCCAGACTGTTCCAGTGATGCTATAATTAATTAAGAAAGGCACTTAATCTAGGCTTCTCTCTGACATATAAATGTTATATGTGTAGACAATATTATTCTTCTTGGGGGGAAGGACACCATCAATTGAATTTAAAAAAAAAACAAGACTATAGTTTCAAAACTGCAAGGTCTGGCATGTTTGTCCAGTGCAAAAAATATAATAAAGGCTATAGGAACAAACAACTTACAAAAATGTTGCAATCAGACCAATGATATAACTGTACGATGCTGTTGAAATTAAGTCATACTTACTTCTTTCCATATTAACATTTGTGGAGAAGGAAATATTCTAACATGTTTTTTTTCCTGTGTTCTGCTATTTCCTTTTGTTATTATTTTTTCCCCTGCCTTAACATCTTCACCCATTCAAAGACTAGCTTCACAGCAGGAAGATGTTTTATGTAGCCAGAGTATTCTTTGAGAAGACCTCTCTAACCTCATGCCCTCTGGATGTATTGGTTTTACACTCTTATCAGTCCTGACCATGGGATGGGAGTCTTGAAGTTGAACTGAATGTCACCAAGTCAGTCAAGGTTGTCCTTGGTATTAACTGTGTGTGGGTTGATTAGGTTTTACATTGCATTAAACATGTTCTTATTTCCTTGCAGTTTCGACGTAGACAATGGCACCTCATCGGGACGGAGTCCCTTGGATCCCATGACAAGCCCTGGATCAGGGTTAATTCTCCAGGCTAACTTTGTTCACAGTCAACGTAGAGAGTCCTTTCTCTACCGGTCAGACAGCGACTATGATCTGTCACCAAAGTCTATGTCCAGGAACTCCTCTATTGCCAGTGATATGTAAGTATTTGGAGCCTTTTCAATCAATTTTTTCAAACATGAGAATGGTTAATATGTGGAAAATGGAAGAGATTAGAACCAGTGAATGGAAATTTCTCAGAAGCAAATTTAAACTAAATATTACCAAAGTCTATGTCCAGGAACTCCTCTATCGCCAGTGATATGTAAGTATTTGGAGCCTTTTCAATCAATTTTTTCAAACATGAGAATGGTTAATATGTGGAAAATGGAAGAGATTAGAACCAGTGAATGGAAATTTCTCAGAAGCAAATTTAAACTAAATATTAGGAGAATCTTCTTAACAGTAAAAACTGTTTGATTGTGAAACAAGTTTTAAAAGGTCACAGACCATCCTTAACAGGAGGTAAAGTAAGTGATAAAGCAAGCTATGTTATAGAAACTCTGATGCAACCTCTTCAGGGGGCAAGGTTGTTCCTTATTGCACTTTTATTAGATAGTCAGGATTTGACTTTGACAAGATTTTCTGGTTGGGTTATCATGTTATTTTAATTAAAATAATTAGACTTTCTGAATCTGCATAAGCTTCCTTATTTTGTGCATAGCTAATAGAACATTACTGATTGTAAAGTAAGAATTTTACCTTGAACAGTGTCAAATCATATAGATAGCCACATGACCAATTAATAGCAAAAATGGACCAATTCCTTTTGAAAGGAAAGCTAGAAGTAGACTGTATGAGTTTTCTTTTTCTTCTTTTGAGGCAGAATGATACCTTTACTGATTAACTTAGATTTTCACTATAGTGGCTGTTAAATTCATTTTTGGGGAATTTCTTTGAAGACTCTTCCCACCTTGCACAGAGACACTAGAGACTTCTTTCCACTCCCTGTTTAAAACAATGGTTGGTTTTAGATTCCTTGTTTTTATGGTTTTGTGGAAGACTGGAACTAAG